AGAAAGCACCCGAAGGGCTGGCGGCTCTTAATGGATCCCACCTGTCCCACTGGAAAGGCAGCCAGCCCCCACTGCAGGGCTGTGAGGGGCCGGGCCAGGGTCTCCATTTTCTTCCCACCCCAATTTTGAGTGTGCCCTTTCCTCCGAGTATTTTTAAAGACAGCTCAACCTTCTCCCCTCCCCGCAAGACTGTATGGCTTCTCCCACAGCATGTCCCGGGGACCACAACCCACCCCCCCCACCTCTGCTGTCTGCTCCCCCAGCCCAGATTGCTGGATCCTGGGTTGCGCAAGGTTGGGTGAAGCCCTTATGGACAGTTGGTCTTTGTTCCTGCCTGCTGCATCCCACAGGCTCTGGGGCTGGCACGTGTCTCCCTCCAGTCCCACCTAGCATGGCCAAGAAGCCCGTATCACTCCAGCTTTCCCTGGTGACGCTCCCTACTCCCACATGAAATGGGGCTTTGGAGAACAAAGAAATGTGGATTTCAAAAACGGCCCAAAACCATTCCCTGGGAGCATCCTGGTGCGGCCAAAGCCAGCCCAGACTCCAAGGTTGGTAAAACCACGAAAAATTGCATCTCATGGGGCAAAGCAGCCATCGAGTTGGGTGGGGCTGCCCGGTTGAGCGGTGGGGGGGGGCGTGCAGCCCCCCCGCCTGCCCCTCATACTGAAAAGGCTGGGAAAAAAAGAAGAGGATGAAGTTAAGCTGGTTTTAGCGCTGACCTCTACGACATCTACCGTCACGCACCTCCCCGGATTTGTGGGGGTCCGGCAGGGGGGACCAGGGCAGCTGCGGTCCTGGAAAGCTGCTGGAGGATCATCACTGGCTGCTGGGGCACCGACACGGCCCCACCAGATCTCCCAGGTCGGAGCTGAAAAGCAGGAGGGGAAGGAAAACCCCAGGGATCTCCCTGTTAGTGTGGCAGCCGGGGAGGAGAGGGGAGAGGAGCCGGTGGCAGGGAGGAGGGCAACACTGGCACCGGGGGGACCAGGGATGAGAGCCTCAGAGGAAGGGGTGGCTTGTGCTGACCCCCTCTTTCCAGGGGTGCAGCCCTGCAAGCCTGGATGAATTGCATGCCCGGCAAGTCCCAAGCCCTGGGGACACATCGCTTTGCAGAAGTGGCCTTCCCAGGGGTCCAGGGGTCTGCAGGGAGCAGGGAGACATTTTGCAAAGAGCAGCTTTCCTGCCCCAGACCCCAGTGCCCACCCAAAACCCTGACCCCATCCCCTGTCTCCTCCCACCCCATCCCATTTTCCCCACCCTACCCTCGCTCAGCCCTGATTATCCCATAAATCCAGAGACGAAGCTGCTCTCCAGGGCTTACCCTGTGTGGGATGACATATGTCCCTGCTGGGGTGTCCCCCCAGATCCCATGGGGGTCCCCCACTGCCCCCTCCTCCATGGCTTGGGCAGGCATTCAGGCGATGGGGCGAGCAGAGCTGCTGTAGGCAGCAGGGCTCGTTGCTATAGCTGCTGGGGCTAAACAAACCCTGCCCGGAGGTTTGGCCACTGGAGGAGCGTCCCTGGGCTGGTTTTCCCTGCAGTGCATCCCCAGGATAACCCCCACACACACTGCAAAAGGCTGTGGGGCAGGGATGTCTTGTGCCCCTCTGATCGCATTTCTGAGCCTGCAGGAAAACCTTCCCTACAGAGAAGTGAGCTGGGAGCAGGGGGCTGCAGGTTTTTCCAAGCCCTGCTACTGGTCCCACTGGCAGGGGAGAGCCGGTCCCAGTGCTGGGGCTGCTCAGCCCCACTAGCATCTCACAGCTTGTGGCTTTGGGAGCTTTCCTAAAATCCCAGGTCCCGGCACCCTGTGGTCTCCGCAGGTCCCATCCATCGCAGATCCACCGCAGCCAGCGGGAGACGGTTCTGCTCCTGCCATGTGGCTTGTGCTCTCAGAGCCTCTGTTTCCCAGTCTTGGGGGCTGCATTTCTGAGCAGGGAGATATTGGGGGATACTGAGCCCAAACACAGCCACCCCGGACAGAGCAAACATCGCTCAGCCAGGGGTAAGAGGGAAAACCTGTGATGACAGCTCCCTGCTACCTCCTCCTGAGCTTTGGCAATCTGGGGCTCTGGGACATCCCAAGCCAGAGGTGATCCCACCTTTAACAGCCTTTTCTCTGTAGTTTAAGGGCCGTTGCCTCACCACTGCCAGGTCACCTCTCTGGGGCAGAAGGCAGAGAAATAAGAAAACAAGGATGGGGTGGGGGCTGGCGGGCTGTGCTTTCCCATCAGAGCGGCTCACTCCTCGCCATGCCGCCTCTTTGATTGGGACTTACTGAAAGGTCCTTTCAAGCACTGGCGGAAAGCACCTGGAGGGGCTGGGAGGCAGCTGCAGCGCGTCCCTGCGGGGCTGAGCTGCGTCACCTGCGCCTGGCGGGGCTCCAGGATGTCAGAGCAAACCTGGCGAGGTGCCTTTGCAGGGAATGTTGGGAGATGGGTCTGGGTGAGAGTCCGGGATAACTTTGGATGTCAGGCTGGGATCGGATCTCCGAGGCTCTGCGGTGCCTGCCATCAGATGGAGACACCTCTGCCTGTGCACCACAGGTTTGGGGTCTCCATTGGTGGAGGGAGAAGGTCCTTCCACCCCATGGGATGTCCCCTTGCAGGTCCTCAGAGACAACATACACACACACACACGAGGCACAGTGGCCGGGGGTGTCACTTGGCCCTGCCGGTGCCACCCGAGGTCTGGTCCCCAGGGTGCCCATGGCACAGTGCCAGGTCCCCTGGGTCTGGCTCCCAGCCTCCTGGATCACTTCCCCAGGGATGCAATGACCCTTGGAACGCCACCTCATCCCCCCCGCCGGAAACCCAGGCAAGGCTTCGCAGGACCACGAATCGATTGCACCAGAGCCTGGCTCCAGCCTGCTGCTCTTCCCTACCATGAGTCCCTCCCAGGATGCTCACAAGGGGATTTGTGTCCAGCAGACCAACACCAGCTCACGTTTTCCATTTATCTCCCCCTGGCCAGAGAGCTCTGCATGTCGAGCTCAGCCCAGGGAAACACTGCGGCTGGGAACAAAATATTTAAGCCCAGCATTGCAATGAAAAACCACTTTCTCCCCCAAAACAGCCCAACTTCCCCCTGACCTGAGGTACCTTTCCTCCACCTCCATCAGCTGCATTTCCCCACACTGCTCTTCTGGGTGATTATTCCCATCAATTACATCCAAAATCCACCGTCCACTGATAGCACAGATCTGGGAACTTTTCCTAGGAACCCAGCCTGCAGCCAGCCCTATTCACCAAGCAGGAACAGATCTCTCCAAAAACTCTTGTTCTGCCCCAAAATGGCACTGGAGACACCCCGGATGCCAGGGGAGGAGCGCTCCGAGGCCGGCTGTCTTAGCCCCCAGCCATTGGCTCCAGTCGGGCTATTTTCTGCTTGATTAGATTTTGCTCTGTGTTCCTAATTTCTCCAAGCCCCTCCAGATTATTTCTCTGCCTTTTGTTATAACTCCCAAATTCCCATTATTTGCACATTTAATTACTGTGCTGATTACCCCCTGCTTCTGGCAGAGCCTGGCTTGCTCTGAACAGAGCCTGGGTATCCATCTCGCTGGTGCTAATAATGTTCTCGTCTGTAAGAAGGATTCAAGCGCCAAGGCAGAGGGCTGAGCAGCGTAAGGAAACCTTCTGCCAACCATGGGACAACAAGGGGAGAGAGGGGACCTGCTCTGAACGTCCTCAGAGCCCCCCATGGCAGCCTGAGCCACTTCGGGGGTGTAACTAGCTGCCCTCCAGTGCAACCCACAGCCCCGATGCATCTCACGCAGCGTTGCAGGACAGGGCACAGGCTGGGGGCTCGGCTATGGGCAGGGCTGTGCTTGGCTGCAGCCTGCCACCGTGGAATGTCCCTTTTTAAGTGACCCAG